AAGACTGGACATGTGTTCTTAGGAAGAATTCCGCTGAGGGCCCGCGGACCATGGGGACAGCCGGCACACAGGCAGGTGGGTCCCTGAGAAGAGGAGACACAGAGCAGCTCTGCCCACCGACAGCTGGTGTGTGGCCTGTCCCCTCGGCTGCCTTGTTGCTGTGACCAGCTGCAGCAGGCTTGAACCTCAGCAGGGACAGGAAGCGCTTTCACGGAGAAGCCAACCGCTCCAGAGGGAAGACCCACAGATGCCTCCTCAGCGCACAGTGGAGCCCACCGCCCCAGCTGCCCCAGCCTGGTCCCCACATCAAGACGCAGACCACAAACGCGGCCTGAGAATCTTCGCACAGAAGGAAGGAAGGGTCAGAACAGAGGAAAAGGAGAAAATCAGAGGAACAGACTGAATGGGGGGAGCCAAAAGGACTTGAGAACAGCTGCGAGCGACTGGAATAAATAATCCCCAGCAATAAAAAGGCAGGACCGCGGACCACCTGGCAGCCCTGAGGGATCAAAGAGTCGTGACGTTGAGGAAAGAAGCTGGACAAAACGGGTACATGCCACGTGTCTCCGTTTACAGAATACTCTAGAACGTGCACAGTAAGCGGTAGGGACAGCAACTCCGTGGTGGCCGGGGGGAGGGGGCGGGGTGACAGACCCACAGGCACATCCACACGTCACAACTTAACAAAAGGTACCCTTTGAACCCGTGCGGTTCACTGGGGATCAGTTATGCCTCGATAAAGTCGTTTAACAAGATGAAACAGAAAAACCCGCTGAGAGCTTCCAGGAGATGGCACAGCCGTGGGGCAAGAAGGGGATGCTACTTATAAAAAGTAATTACCAAAAACCAAGAAAGAGCTCCTGAATAATCACTGAAAGAAAATTTAGTGACAGAGTTGTGAAATAAAGATGAACTATTCCCAGAAGAGCTAGAGGTTAGGAAACAAAAATAAAGAAGGAAAGCAGGCCATCCCAAGGCCTCCGACCTCTGACTCACGGAGTCCCGGAAGAGAGGAGCTGGCGGAAGAACCGACTGGAGGAGGACGCCCGTTTCTGGAAGTGAGGGCTTGGGGCTCCAGGTGGAGGAGTGCACCATGTCCCCGCGACGGTAGCTGAGTGGAAACCCAGACCAGGTGCCTCTGTGAAATGTCAGTGCTCGGAGGACACAGAGAGCCTCTGCAAAGCTCCCAACGTGGAAAAACCAGGCAGCAGACAGCTTACTCGGAGCTGAGTGAGGTGGGACTTGCCAGCAGCACCCTCAGCCTCTGTTTGAAAATTGTCGGCCACTTAGCTTTTGCGTCAAACACAGCTCTCTGATCAGAAGCAGCTTGGTGCTGGGCTGCTCTCCGGGTGCCCCCCAGGCCTGGTGTGTGCTCTGCAGCCACCCGCACCTGTCCACTCCTTGGGGACCGCAGAGGCCCCCACTTCCTGGGAGGTGCATCACCTTCAGCAGACCGCCCACGTGCCCTCTGGCTGTTCCCAAGTGGTCTGGGTTGCCAAGCCCTCACCAGCCTACCCCCTCCAGACCCTCTCCAGGGCAACTGTGGGCCCATACGGAACAGGGTCCCTAGCCCGATAAAATACCCCAGATGTACTCCTAGCAGAGGGAGAATGAGCTTGTGTCCTCCCCGTACTCCTGTTGATGCAGCCTCAAAATGAGTCCGCTTTGCTTTCAGATGCCTGTTCCTTGCTAACTCATGGTGAGCCCGGTCCTGATCAACGTGGTGGGCTGCCCCTAAGCCCTCCGGGGCTCCGTGGACAGTCTCGTGTCTTCCACCGGTCCTGGCCCGGCGCAGAGGACGCTCAGAGTCTGGGGCCATGAGCAGGGCTCAGAAGTCCGTTCTTGGGATGCCTGACAACGTCCGTGCTTTCGCCTCAGTTCCTTTTCTCGTGGTTCCTTCACAGATTTTGTGAAAGTCCAGCTACCTCCACTGCGCTGAGAGCCAGGAGAGCAGGAGGGAGGGGGCTGCGTGCAGACTGGGAGGAGCAACACCCCTGAGGGCCAGCGGGGTGGGGCAGCGGCACCCCTGGAGGCTGTGCATCCATCAGGAGGCTGGTGGGTCCTTGGAGAGCTGAGGGCTCCCTCCACCACCGGCCCCACCAGCACTTTCACCAGAGACCCTGCAGAGGCCCAGGAGGGCCAGCCTCTCCCCTCCTGCTGCTCCCATTTCCTCCCCCCGTGAGGACAGCCCTGCGGGCACATGGCAGGAGCAGGCGGGGCTCGGCCCTGACCTGTGTAGATCTCACAGCACTCTGCGCCTCTGAGCCAGAGGCAGCCTCAGAATCCCTCTTGACTACTGCCTGCCCAGAGTTAACGTTTCGGCCTAAAGCTCTTTTCTATTGGCCGTCTACACTGGCCATCTTGGTGCCCCCTCTCCTCAGTCCCACAATGCCGGGGGGCAGCTGGAGTGGAGCACCATGCCCAATTCTGCCTGTTTCCCTGGATCCCCACTCTGGCCAAAGACATGACTAGACGTCTACACTCAGCCCTGGCTCCGCTGATCAGCCCAGTGGGCATCTTTCCCTAGGGTGACAATCATTCTGTGGATTCCTTGGTCCCTTGGAAAATGAAAACCCTGGACAGTCAGGGTAGTAGAAGGGACTGGAAACTGTCAGCTTGGCCATGCCCCCAGAAGGGTGGGGCCATGATGACAGCAGGCAGCGTTCCAGGTGGGGGTCTGGAGGACCAGAGTGGGGTGCAGACACATGGGGAGCACTGGATGAGGTGAGGGGTGTGGGGAGTCGTGGGGAGACTGGATGGGGTGAGGGGTGTGGAGAGTCATGGGAAGCACTGGAGGGGGTGAGGGGTGTGGGGAGTGGTGGGGAGACTGGAAGGGGTGAGGGGTGTGGGGAGTGGTGGGGAGACTGGATGGGGTGAGGGGTGTGGAGAGTCATGGGAAGCACTGGATGGAGTGAGGGGTGTGGAGAGTCATGGGAAGCACTGGAGGGGGTGAGGGGTGTGGGGAGTGGTGGGGAGACTGGATGGACTGAGGGGTGTGGGGCTAGTTGCAGGGCGCCTGTGTCTGGGGGCGGAGGGGGGTCCTGAGGCTGGGGAGGGGGGCAGGTCTGAGGGAGGAGAGGGTGCAGTCCTGCCTACAGGAATCTGCCCACAGCCCTGCGATTGCTCAGGCCTGCATCTTCACTTGGTCTTGAGGGGCTGGACGTAGGGGGCTCCCCTGGGTTGGGGTGGCCGGTGGACAGGTGGGAGACCGTCAGGCAGAGCGTGCTGGGATGCAGTGTGCAGTGGGTGGGGAGGAGGGGCATGGGGCGGACCCCAGGAACTGGGCACTGCATCGGGCCAAGGACTGGGCTCTGGACACTGGCCACAGTGACTCCTGACTTTGGCCTGTGACAGATCATCAAAGTGCCGGAAAGGTCTGGCTCAGCTGAGCGGCAGGGGCCCTGAAGGGAGAGGATGGGACAGCGAGGGAGGGACCAGGCTGCTGGGCCCCCTTCCCCTACCGCGCCCATGCACCCTGGGCTCTGAGGGGTCTCTGTGCTCCCCCTCTCCCAGAAGCCTGTGACGGGGCTGCTTCCAGCTGTGGGCAGAAGCCTTGGGAGGCCCACGTGCTGCCCAGGCCAGGGGAGCCGCCTGACTGAGGGGAAGGCCGAGGCCTCCAGAGCCCCAGGGAACACAGGCCCTCGGCCCAACTGCCTGCCACCCCGCAGCAAGCTCCCAGGACTCCACCAGGACCTCCGCCACCTGATGGGCAGGCCCAGTGATGACGGTGTGGGCTCTCCTTCAAAACTCCGAGCCTCAGCAAAGACTGCAGCACACTACAGTGAGCGTGGACCCCATGAGCGGGGACCCTCCTGAGTGTGGCTCCCCCTCAGCGTGGCTCCCCTCGAGCACACCTCCCCTCGAGCATGGCCCCCCTGAGCATGGCTCCCCTCGAGCACACCTCCCCTCGAGCATGGGCCCCCTGAGCATAGCCCCCCTGAGCATGGCCTCACTGAGCATGGCTTCCCTCAAGCATGGGTCCTCCTGAGCATGGACTCCCCTGACCGTGCATCCCCTGAGTATGTACCCCTCTGAGTATGGACCCTTTTGAGCGAGGTCCCCCGGGGCTGGGGTCCTGGGGGACTGCATCAGCGGCACGCCCATGAGGCCAGCCCTGCCAGGACGCGGCTGCCATTCTTGCTCCATTCACACAGCCGGGAGACAGGGCAGGGAGGTGTTAGTGCCCGAGGACACAGGGGTGGGAGGAGACAGATTTGGGGTTTGAGCCCAGGCCCACCTTGGACCAGGACCCTCAGGGGGCCTCTGGAAAGTCCTGGTCATTCCAACTCGAGTTTGGATGCCCGGCTCCATGCAGGGAGGCGAAGGAGCGGTGAGCGCAGCACAAACCAGCCCTGGTGGGCACCCAACCCCTGCCTCTGTCCTTCAGGGCCTCCAGCTTCCCTGAAGGAAGCACGAGGGGAGTGTGTCCTTTTGACAGAGCCTGGTCACCTTCTCACTGCCCCCACACCATCCCCACCCTGGTGCAGCCCCCATGAGGGTCGAGGGGTCCTGGCCCTGCGTGGCAGGAGGAAACCAGGCTGTGGCCTCTAGCGCGGCCCTTCCAGGAGCTGCACACGACCCCCGCCAGACCTCCTGATGGCTGGGGAGTGGGGAGGGGTGGCAGGCGGGTGGGAGGGCCCAAGAGAGCCCGCAGGTGGAGAGCCCTAGAGACTCATCTGGGAAGATGCCCCTTACCCTCCCACCTCCACGATGCAAGCCTGGGGGGAAGCGCGTGCCCGTGCGTGTGTGCACGCGCATGTGCGCGCGCACTCACACACACACACACACACACACACACACACACACGGCCCTGTCACTTGTTGGAGCCAGCCCTGGTGGAGAGCTTTATTCCAGCCACAGGGGGCAGCCACAGAAAGCTGGCCATTGACCCATCCCCTAGAGGCCGGGCGCACCAGGCTCTGGGCCTGGCAGGTGTGCAGCCCATCCCAGGCACCCTGGTGGTGGCCTTGCTCAGGCGTCAGTAGTCCTCTTGACCTCGTCCCCGTTCCTCTTTCATCCCAGGGGTGGAGTGTGGCCTTCCCGGTCTCTGTGCCTGGGTCGTCCCTGTGCCCCCGGGTCTCCTGGAGAGTGTCCACAGCCCACAGCAAGTTCAGGGCTGATCCTGGGGCTCCTTGCTGCTGGTCACAGGTTCCCCCCGCAGCAGCACCTCCCGGAGAGCCTGGGCTACCGCGCTGATGGCTTGTTTCCTAGGCCAGGGCCACACACAGGGACTCCTGGCTCTTGTGGGCCTTGGCAGGGGGCGGCCCGGCCCGCGCCGACGCCTCCTGGAACTCCTTGGCTAGGTAGTAGTAGCAGATGGCGTCCAGGCAGCAGTTGCCGTCCGAGAGCCTACTGGTGACGTAGAGGGCACGGCGGATGACACAAGTGGGCAGGCTGGTGGCCACGCGCACCGTCAGCACCACGTGCAAGGGCAGGAAGCAGACCACAAACACAACCAGGTTTGCCCAGACCATGCGGGCAGCCTTCTGGGTGACCTCCACCTGGCCTGAGTCAACAGTGGGCCTCCGGCCCAGGGCGGTCACCACTTGCAGAGAGCAGAAGACCAGCACGGCCAGAGGCAGGTAGAAGCCCAGCAGCGAGAAGATCACGGTGTTGGAACTTTGACTGGAGGGGCTGGTGAAGCAGAAGCCACCTTCCTGCACCCCCAGGACCCAGCGAAGCACCAGGGAGCCAACCACCAGCACCCAGAGCGCCAAGCACATGGCCGTGGCCTGCCGCGGGGAGCGGAGCCCGCGGACACGCATTGGGTGCCGCACGGCCATGTAGCGGTCCACGGCAATGGCCATGATCAGGCTGATGCTCATGTACCTGTTGGCCAGGTAGATGCCCTGGGAGAGCTGGCAGAGCGGCGTGTCGGTGGTGCCATTCTTCAGGGAGTACAGCATGAAGGGCAGGGTGCAGAGCAGGCAGAGGTCGGCCATGGCCAGGTTGGCCATGTAGACGCGGGTCTCCGTCCACTGCTGCATGCGGCAGCACAGCACCCAGAGCGCCAGGCTGTTGAGCAGCAGGCCCAGCACCAGCACCAGGCCCGTGTAGGTATAGAAAATGCTTGTGACTGGCTGGGGCCAGGTGAGCTCGCCGGGGCCACAGGTACTGTTGTTCATGGTCCTGGAGCTGCAGGAGGGGAGCAGGGGTGAGGAGGGCAGGCAGGGACGGGGGAGCCCTGGGGCTAGCAAGGCCCCACCCACCTCTGGCCAGGGATGCAGGAGGTGAGCCCCTACCCCACATCCAGGAGCCCCAAACTCACCTTCCCAAAGAAATCATAGAAATCTTAAGGAGCTCTGAGGCACCCTCCAGCCCAAACCCCTGCCCGCCTGATGGGTGGGGAAACCAAGGCCTTCAGAGGCCGGGTGGGCTCAAGGTTGCACAGGGAGCCAGCCCAGGGCTGGAACCAGATCCCCTTCCCCCTCCCCAGCCCTCCTCTCACGGGACTTGCCTGCTGCTGGGCAGAAAGGAAGGCAGGAGGGGCTCCCCGTCCACCTCCAGTCACAGCTGAGCCAGCTCTGTCAGCTCGCGGGTCCTGAGGGGCCCCTCACTCTGCCAGCTCTCAGGACAGGGAGCCCGGAGGGCAGCCAGCCTCGTCCCAGCCCCGATTCCGATTCCGCTCTCCTGAGGGAGGGCTCAGAGATGGCTCCAAGACAGGCCCAGGACAGAGCCCCGGTGGCCCACTGCCCCTCCACCCCTCCCCATAGCTGGCTGCAGGAGGTGCCTGCATCTGACCCCCACCTGCACCTCAGCAGGGTGATCGGCATCTACCCCACCTGGTCATTCCTGGCAGCAGAGGTCCAGGACAGCAGGGGCTGTGGCTCAGGACTGCTCCGCAGAAGACTCCAGAACTCTAGTCTCTGTCCTCCCTCCCTCTCTCCCTCCCTCCCTCCTTCCTGTGCTGATAGCTACCCATCATTCTCTTCCTGAGGGGACAGTGGTCTGAGGGAACCGCCCCAGGCACCACCCTCTCTCCCTCCCTCCCTCCTTCCTGTGCTGATAGCTACCCATCATTCTCTTCCTGAGGGGACAGTGGTCTGAGGGAACCGCCCCAGGCACCACCCTCTCTCCCTCCCTCCCTCTCAGTGCCCGCCTACCCCAGTCCTGTGCCCTGAGGTCCCACTTGGATGGGCCTGAGGCTCCATCCCAGGCCGCATCTGGGGTCACGCATCTGGGGTCACGAGTGCCCCTTTAGCTCCCTATACAGAGCTGTAAGGGCAGCCCTGCCCTTCCAGGCCCAGACTGGAGGCTCAGAGCCGGCCTCATGGTGGCACGGGTGTTTTCCTCACCGCCATCATCAGGAGCCTCGGCACGGCCTCACCCGCCACCATCCATGCCAGCCTCCGGCTCCCCTGGACACGCTCCATGACACAGCCCAGGGGGGCTGGGACTAGCCTGCCAGGGCCAGGGTGGACTTAGTCAGGGGTCTGACATACAGGGCGTGACACATGATGCAGAAATTGGACTCTGGACTCACCCCGAGCTGGGCAAACCGGGGTCTCCCCATCATAAGGGGGTGCTGGTGTCCCATGTGTGGGCTCAGGGAGCAGGTACATGAGTGGCCAGCAGGCCATGTGTCTGGCACAGGGCACATACCTGCCACGGCCCTCAGCCCCCCACCTTGCTTCGTCTGGCTGGAAGGGCCTGGAGGGGTGAGTGGGATGGCCTCCCTCCCCCAGTGAGCACAGGCCCTCCAGGGACTCCCTGCCCTTTAGGTGTGGTACCGAAGGGGGTTCAGTCCACCCAGGGAGGGCTCACAGCCAGGCCTCCCTGGTTCTGCTCCCTCTGCCCCCTCCCCACACAGGGAGGGAAGAAATATCCAGAACCTGGAGCTTGCAGAGTCATTAGGCTCATTTCCTCAGCTTCGGCCCCCTGGGAACCTCCAGGCCACAGTCCATTAGGGAAGCAGGAGTGCATGTTTCAGCCAGAAACAGAAATATTCCACCAAATTATCCCATTCCATCTCTTTTGAGTTTTAAAATGGCTCATTTGCCAGCAATTAAAGTTTCATGAACCCTTTCATCAGCGTGAAATGTCTACACACCCTCCTGATTCTCTCTCCTTGTTTTTGAAGGATTCTGCTTGTTCTCTCCCCGGTCTGTGAGTGACACCTCCCCATGTCCAGGGTCTGAGGCCTCTCAGACCACAAGCCAGGCCAGGCTCTGCAGACTCTCCCAGAAGCCGCTGAAACCAACTGCTGGATCTCCCTTCCCACCTGCCCTGCCCTCCTGACCGGCCGCAGTCCACCCAGAAACGCCTGCAACCTGCCAGGCCAGCTCTGCACTGTCCCCTCGCCAGCCCAGAATCCTCAGGACCTGCTGGGACTATCCGGAGATTCTGCAGGGATGGCTGCCGCAGGGGGTCCTCTGTGCCACCAGCATTGTCCCGTCTCCCCACCTGAGCCAGGTCCAGGGCTGGCCCCTCACCATTCTGGCCAGCGGTGCCTGCAGCAGTGGACTGGCAGCCTGTTCTAGATGACCAGCAGCCCAGGGCACTGCTGGCCAGGGAGGTGGGCCTGGCCCCCTCCCCGGATGCCCACCACCCGGGATGGCTGAATAGGGGTCCTTGGTCATACACACCCAATATTTTGCGGGGGAAAGTGAAAAAATCTAATTGCAATCTTTAAATTTTCCCTTTTATAATAAACTCCTGTCAGGGAGAAGGATGCAACTTTGCAAGAGTTTAAGTGCACAACGAGACTTGGAAGACGTGCCGTGCTCCTGGGGCCTTCATCTCTGTCCTTTGGGGTGCCTCCCAAAAACGCTTGTGAAGTTGAGTCCCAGGGTCCAGCCCGAATGGCACAGAATCCCCAGAAGCCATCGCAGCCAGCACATGTCCCTGCCCGTGCCCAGCCCCAGCATGCGGATCTGTGTCCAGGACAGGGATCGCAGCTGGCCTGCTGCTCAGATATGCAGGCCCATCACCTCCAACAGACACCCTGTGGCTGTGGCCCTGGGGTGGCCGGGGCCCCACTGCAGCACAGCAAGCACTCAGCTTCCAGGGGTGCTGCCGTTTCCTGCTGGGGTGGCTGTCATGGGGTGAGAGACGCAGCAGCCCCTCAGAGGCCCCGCTTCCTCCTCCATGGCGAGATCAGTCACTCCCCACACAAGGAGTAGACAGCCGCCCTTGATTCTGCAGAGACATCTTTGCAACCACCTGAAGGGAAATCTGTGGTTGCTATTCAGAGGCCCAAGCATGCTCCACCCTCTCCCCCACCCCTCCTGCTGTTTGGACGGCCCTGCCATCCCCCGGGACCCCACAGACCCTCTGAGTGGGATCTGGGGCAGAGAGTTGGGTGCACACACCCATTGCCTGGGCACTGTAGAGGCATCCGGAGCTGGGACCCCACATTAGAAACACCCGAGGATCCAGGCCGGGCTTGTGTGAGTGAAACAGAGCTCTTCACAAAACAGAGCTCCCCACACCAGGGACACAGCACTCGGGTATTTTCTAGGCCAGCCTTTTAAATGCTGGTCACCACCCACAGAGTAGTTTCAGAGTCTCGAATGAGGTGGGAGTCCAGGCCCCGGAAGACACTGAGTTCCGCTGCAATGCTGCCTACACTCATCCCCCCATGTTCATGGAGGAGGGCCCCCCTTTCCAGACCATCAACCCCACACAGCTCCTCCGTCAGGACGCTCCCCCAAGGTTCCAAGCCCCCGTCACGCCCTCACCCCACTCTGAGACCCCCCATCACACTCTCACCCTGCTCTGAGATGCCCATCACAGCCCTCACCCCACTCTGAGACCCCCCCATCACAGCCCTCATTCCGCTCTGAGACTCCCCATCACAGCCTCATCCCACTCTGAGACCTCCCATCACACCCTCACCCCACTCTGAGACCCCCCATCACAGCCCTCACCCTGCTCTAAGACCCGCCCATCACGCCCTCACCCTGCCCTGACACCCCCCATCACAGCCCTCATCCTGTTCTGAGACCCCCAATCACAGCCCTCACTCTGCTCTGAGACTCCTCATCACACCCTCACCTTGCTCTGAGACCCCCATCACGCCCTCACCCCGCTCTGAGATCCCCAACACGTCCTCACCCTGCCCTGAGACCCCCCCAACACAGCCCTCACCCCACTCTGAGACCACCATCACAGCCCTCACTCTGCTCTGAGACTCCCCATCATGCCCTCACCTCGCTCTGAGACCCCCCATCATGCCTTCAGCTCGCTCTGGGACCCCCCATCACACCCTCACCCTGCTCTGAGACTCCCCATCACACCCTCACCCCTCTCTGAGACCCCCCATCACGCCCTCACCCCGCTCTGAGAACCCCCATCACACCCTCACTCTGCCCTGAAACTCCCCATCATGCCCTTACCCTGATTGGAGACCCCTGGCTCCACCTTGGCACTGACGTGCAGTCAGCCTCAGTTTCCCTGGTGAGCTGATGAGCTGTCTGCCCCCTGAGCTGGAAGCCTTTGCAGGGGCTGTCTGAGAAGGGCGATGGGGAAGCAGGGCTGGAGGAGGGCCAGCCCCTCAGGCTGGGCGGACTCCTGCAGGCGGTAGGTGGTGGGCGTGCTGACAACAGCAGAGTAGGGTGATGGGCTCCCTGCCACCAGCGCCAGCCCTGGGCTGCTTGGGGGAATTTCTGGGACGGGAAGTGGGGTGCTGGTGGCCGCATGTGTCAGTACCTCCAGAGAACCAGCATGCTTGCTAAGACAGTTTGTTCAGGAAACAACTGAGAGAGCTCCTCCAGGAGGGAAGGCATCCTCTCCCGCAGCCCCCTACACCTGTCATTTCTGGGAAGTGCTGGGCCTTCCCCAGGGCTGGAGGGGTCGAGGTCCCCCGCGCCCACGCCCAGCATCCTGGCAGGAAGGCCGCATGCTCGCTGCGCTACGCACACTCACACACACCCACGCTGCCGGGGTGGCCCGCCAACACGTGTGGAGGCACAGTCTTGTGTGGCCAGCAGCCAGCAGTGAAAACCCAGACAGAGCGACTTCCTGCAGCTCTGCTGTAGCTGCTGACTCTGCCCTCCCCATCACCAGCTGCCCCTCCTCCAGCCCACCTCCTCAGAAGCCTTCTTTCCAGACCACTCCTCCACCCAGTCTCCTCCCCGCCAACTCCTCCAGGCCTTCATGGGGTATTCTCTTTGGCTGGCATCTTCACTCTGAGCTCA